AATTTATATTACATGTGTTACGGCTCCGCTCCGCTCCACAGCGCAGGTCACAGCTGTGCGTTTCAAGTCCAGTTTACATTATCTCCTCTCCGCTCCGCTCCACAGCGCAGGTCACAGCTGTGCGTTTCAAGTCCAGTTTACATTATCTCCTCTCCGCTCCGCTCCTACAGACGTGCAGGAAGCAGATCGCGGGATAAATTCAGTGATAAGTGTGGAAGTCACAGCAAAAAATCATTAATTCTGTGAAAGACCAACTCCAAACACAGCTGAAAACAACAATATAAAGGCTTTTAGTATCTATGGTTGAAACTGTCTTGCTGTCGGCTTTCTGAAGCTTCTGATTTCAAAATAAAATCCACGTGTATCATGTGTGTACACACATGCTTCACGCTACGTTTCCATCTGCTTCCCAAACAGAACGATACATTCTGACAGCATTTGTGTAGGAATATATCCATATATTTATTAATATAGCTGCAATTTCGACATTATTCCGACAAATTAGCCAGCCTAAATGTGTCTTATTTTGAAAATACAGATCTTGTGATCGTTTCTTTTCCTGTTGGTGCGACGTAATTTTTAAAAACTGACTCCTGCGCTGCTCCAGCGTCCGGCAAAAATTGGATTTGTTCTGATTTTGACGGATCGCCGTCTGCTCATCGCAGCCGTGCGCAGTCATGCGCAGCCAATATAAACACTCTCATTGATTATAATGGGTGTGTATTTGCTGCAGAGGTCGGACCGGAGCGGAGCGGAGACGGAACGCATGTAGTGTAAATTAGGGGTTAAAGCAGTGGTTTAGCAAGTCTGAGACTGTTCACATTGTAAAATTTCAGAATTTTTGCTCAGATCCAATTTTTTTTATAGTCGTTCACATTCCCTTTTAAATATAACTGCCATCAAACTTCAGTGTAACCAGTCTACAGCCCTGAAGTGACTCACATGTGCAAGAAAAGACGGGACGTCACACTTCCTACTGAAAGTAAAGTCAATCCCACTGATTGATCCCATTATGGTGGTATCAATGTGATCTGTCACTAGTGTCAGTTGCTGAATAATCTCGGTCATTGAGAACATGACAATTTAAATGAACAAAACAAGAAAAGAAAATAAATCTACTGGGCTTTGATTCTGAACATTGATATTTAGATCAGTAAACATACTTTTACTACAATGTTGTAAGAGTCAGATAAAATATGACGCAACAGTTCACATTGTGATTGCTTTAAAAAACAATAAATCTGTATCTGATTTATTACCACATGTAAAAGACCTGTGTCAGATTTGAAAAATCTGATCTGTCTCATTCACACTGTTATAAAATAATCAGATATGAGTCTCAAATGATCAAAAGAAAAAAACAGAAAAATCAGATTTAGCCTATACGATAATCCTGAATTGCTCACGTTTTTATGTCCTCTCCCAGGAAGCAGCGGTTGCGCAGTAGTCCCGCCCACAGTTGGACCCCCACAATGCCGAAGATGAAAAAGACAAAGAAGCAAAGGAGGAGAACGTTCCCCAGCATAGGCAGCGTGTCCAGGAGCAGCGTCACCAGGATCCTCATACCTACACATTGGGACACAAGCAGCAGAGACGAAACGAGAAACGAACGGTTTACGCACAAGGTCAAATGTACATTAGGTGGTTTTGTTCGTGATCCAACACTGACACATTACTACGACCCCCGCACGTGAAGCGTAAGCGGGAGCCATATTGTTTTTGTACTGTTTATTTTTTTTTTCAGTGATTTTTGGTCAACTGTAGTACAAAAACGGCTGCACCGATCAACATGAAATTTGGCAGGGCTGTAGATGAGCCTGACCTACACTGCCCCAGCCAATGGTTTTATGATAGACCCCATATTTGAGGAGGGGGCTCCTTCAAAGTGGAGGTGTCAGGACATGCAAAATTGCTTATAACTCAGAAACTGTTCAACGTAGAAGCTTCAGATTTTTTTGGTTGTTTAGCTCTGATGAAGCTCTATCCATCAGGCCCACCAATCATTGCCCCCACCCCCGCCCGGTCCCCCAATTTATCTGAAAAAGGGGTATGGTTATAGCTCAAAAACTATTAAACATAGAAGCTTCAGATTTAT